TTTTTCTGATATTACTGTTGCCATCTCAGTTACTATTGGTTACTTTTACATGGCATATCTTTTTCCATGCTTTCAGTTTCAACTTTTTCTGTCTTTGGATCTAAAGTTAGTCTCTTTAGACAGTATATAGTTGGATCATATTTTTTGATCCATTCTGCCAATCTCTGTCCTTTAATTGGAGAGTTTGATACATTTACAATTAAAGTAATTAATGACAAGGAAAGATTTACTTCTATTTTATCATTTTCTATATGTTTTATATATATTTTTGTTCTTCAATTATGCCATTACTGCTTTCTTTTGTTTATTTGATTTTTTACTTGTGTATTGTCTTGATTCCCTTCTCATTTTTTTCTGTATATTTTTAGTTAATTTCTTAGTGCTTACCCTAGACATTATAATTAACATCTTAAATTTATAATAATCTTGGTTTTAATTAATGTCAGTTTAGCATTCATAGTTTACAAAAATCTCTGCTCCTATATATTTCTAATCCCTTTATGTTGTTGTTGTCATAAATCATATCTTTACACATTGTACTCTCATTAAAATTAATTTATAATTATTTCTTTATGCATTTGGTTTTAAATAGTATGAGAAAATAGAGGAGTTACAAGCCAAAAAGATAATAATACTGGCTCCTATATTTACCAAAGTAGTCCCATTTAATGTGTTCTTTATTTCTTTGTACAGCTTTGAGTTACCTAATGCACTTTCATTCTGGCTTGAGAGACTACCTTTGGTATTTATTGAGGATAGTGTATTAGGGCTATCAAAACAAAGTACCTCAGACTGGGTGATTTAAACAACTCAAATTTATTTTCTCACAGTTCTGGAGGTAGAGATCTGAGATCGAGGTGTTGGCAGGGTTGATTCCTTCTGAGTCCTCTCTGTTTAGCTGTAGAGGGCTATCTTTTCCCTGTGTCTTCACATGGTCTCCCTTCTGTATGTGTCTTTATCCTAATTTTCTCTTTGTATAAGGGTATCAATTATGACTAGGGAACACTCCAATGACCAAACTTAATTACTTCTCTAAAGGCCCAACCCCAAGTATAGTCACTGGTGGTTAGGACTTCAGTGTATGAATTTTGAGAGGAGACAGTTCAGCCCATAACTGGCAACTCTACTAGCAACCAACTCCCTTAGTTTTTGGTTATCTGGGAATGTCTTAATTACCCTTAATTTTTGAAGATTAGTTTTATTAGATGCAAAATTCTTGGTTGACGGTTTTTTCTTTCAGCACTTTAAATGTCATCCCACTGCTTCTTGCCTCCATGGTTTCTAATGAGAAATTGGATGTTAATATTTTTGAGGATCCTTTGTTCATGATGAGTTGCTTTCTACCTTGCTATTTTCAAAATTCTGTCTTTATCATTGGCTTTTGACAGTTTGATTTTAATGTGTGTTGGTGTGGATACTTTTGAATTTACCCCACCTAGAGTTTTTCAAGTTCCTTGGATGTGTAGATTCATGTCTCTCAACAAATTTGGAAAGTTTTCACCCATTAGTTATTCGAATTTCCTTTCTGCTCCTTTCTCTTTCTCTTCTTCTGGGGACACCTATTATGCATATGTTGATATTCTTGATGATGTCCCACAGGTCTCTTAGACTCTGTTCATTTTTCTTATTCTTTTTTAATTCTGTTCCTCATACTGAATAACCTTGATTGATTTCTTTGTTTTTTAGGAAGATTAACCCTGAGCTAAGTTCTCTTCTTTTTTGCTGAGGAAGCCTGGCCCTTAGCTAACATCCGTGCCCATCTTCCTCTACTTTATATGTTGGATGCCTACCACAGCATGGCATGCCAAGCAGTGCCATGTCTGCACCTGGGATCTGAACTGGTGAACCCCAGGCTGCCAAAAAGCAAAATGTGCGAACTTAACCACTGCACCACTGGGCCGGCCCCGATTGATTTGTTTTGACATTTGAATTTTCATTTTTGTTACTGTATTTTAAGCTTCAGAATTTCTCTTTTATTATTTCTATATTTTTATTGTTATTCTTTACTTGGTGAGACATCATTCTTCTCATTTCCTTTAGTTCTTTCTCCATGGTTTGCATCTTTGCCTGTTAGTCCAATGTCTAGGCTTCCTTAGGAATAGGTTCTGTTTCTTTCTTTCCCTGCGAATGGGCCCACGCTTTCTTGTTTCTTTGCATGCTTCAAATTTTTTTGTTGTGAACTAGACATTTTGAATATTACAAAGTGGTAACTCTAGAAATCAAATTTCCCACCCTTCTCATGGTTTGCCATTCTTGCTTATTGTGGGTTGTAGTTTGTTTGTTTAGTGATTTTTCTGAACTATTTTTGTTATAGACTATGATTTGTTTCTAAATCTATTTTCCGTTAATGGTCAGCTAATGAATTGATAGAGATTTCCTTAAATGACTGTAACCAACAATAAAAATGATAAGAACAGCAAACTCTTCTGGTTTTTGCAGTTTGCCTCTGTGTGTGGGCATTCCTGCAATGCTTATCCTGCTCATTTACAACTCTACCTTAGCCTTTACTCTTGTTTGCACAGTACCTAAAGGTCAGTCAGAGGAGAATGCCCGGCACCTTCTCAACACTTTACTAAGCCTGTATCCAGCCCTGGGCTTGTGTGACCTTTTAGATTTCCTGGTATATGCTGAAGCTTTTCATAGCCTTTACTCCCACACGTATCTCCTCCCTCAGCCTCTTCTTCCCTAGGCTTTTCAGTGTGCCTGTTGTTTGTCCTATCTGTTATCCCTTGTGTCAGGTAGCTGCAGCTAGTGTTTTGGGCTTTAAATGCTTTTGACAAACACCAGCTGGGTACCCACTCTAACCCAGTGAAAGTTCCAAGATGAGAAGACAGAGGCAAATCCTTGAGTCCATCCTTTGGGAGACACTGGACAGCTCAACACACAACTGTAATTCTTTGAAAACAAATTTGGTATTGCTACTCTGGCACCAGTAAGCCACATCAGGAGCAGGGGCCACCATCCTCATGACTGCCACTGACAGTGGAGGATGTGATGGCACATGGGTAAATTCAAACAGCACAGTGCTCTCTTACAGAAATTCAGTAGCTTCCTTCTTCATGAAGCATTCTCCTGGTTTTGGCTGGGGCAATGGGTGTGAATGGGCCCCTCGTTTCTTATCTAGCAGGCTGGTTCAGGCTTTTACAAATGGTGTTTAAATAGGGTTCTGAGAGTAGGAGTAACTGTATGCAAGGCTTCCTGAGACTCAGACTCAGAACTGGCAAACCGGGATTTCCACTGCATTAATTGGTTAATGCAAGTTACAAGGCCCAACCTATACTGAAGTGAGAGGAAATAGGCTCATCTCTTGATGGGAGGCACTGCAAAAAATGTAAAGGTTTAAAAAAATCTTCCACACCTAAATAATTTGTAGAGCAGAAGTTTAATTTATTTCTGACATGCAGATGAAATAGATGGTTAGACATGCTATTTCTTTTATTCTTAGCTGTGGATCTAATGAAGGTTATATAGCTTCACAACCAATGTTCTTATAACTTAAGTCCATTGCCATGAAACTTAAAACACTATATATTGATATTAACCAATTGTAAAAAGCAAACACCCTAGCATATCCTGTAAGTGCTGTGGTAAAATGGATTGAATGCTTAAAACGTAAGACCTTAAATAGTAAAACTTGTAGAAGAAAACATAAGGAAAAAACTTCTTGACATTGGTCTGGGCAATGATTTTTTTGATATGACACCAGAAGCACAGGCAAAAAATGCAAAAATAAGCAAGACTACGTCAAACTAAAAAGCTTCCGCACAACAAAAGAAACAGTCGACAAAATGAAAAGACAATCTACAGAATGGGAGAAAATAGTGGAAACTGTATAGCTGATAAGAGGTTAATATCCAAAATATATAAGAAACTCATACAACTCAATACCAAAAAGAAATAACAAGATTTACAACTGGCAAAGGACCTGAGTAGACATTTCTTAAAAGAAGACATACAAATGGCCATCAGATATATGAAAAGGTAATCAACATCATTAATCATCAGGGAAATGCAAATAAAAGACAATAGTGAGATATCACCTCACGCCTGCTAGGATGGCTGTTACCAAAGAAGACGAAAGATAACAAGTGTTGGCGAGGATATGGAGAAAAGGGAACAATTGTACACTTTGGTTGAGAATATAAATTTGTGCAGCCACTATGGAAAACAGTATAGAAGTTCCTAAAAAAATTTAAAATGACCTGTCATATGATCCAGCCATTCCACTTCTAGGTGTATGTTCGCAGGAAATGAAATCAGTATCTTGAAGAGATATCTGCACTCTCTTGTTTGTTGCAGCATTATTCATAATAGCCAAGATATGGAAACAACTTAACTGTGAGTTGAAGAATGAAGGATCAAGAATCAAGATAATGTGACATATATGTATAAACTTACACAATGGAATATTATTCAGCCTTAAAAAAGAAAGAAATGCTGCCATTTGTGACAACATGGATGAACCTGGAGGGTATTCTGCTAGGTAAAATAAGCCAGATACAGAAAGACAAATGCTCTGTGATCTCACTTATGTGTGAAATCTAAAGTAGTCAATCTCGTAGACGCAGAGAGTAGAATGGTTGTTGCAAGGAGCTGTGGAGAAGGAGACATGGGGAAATGTTGGTCAAAGGGTACAAAGTTCTAGTTATGCAAAATTATTAAGTTCTGGAGATTTAATATACAGTAAAGTGACTATAGTTAACAATACTGTACTATAAACTTGAAATTTGCTAAGAGGGTTGTTATTGCAGGCTCCCCCAACCCCCCAAACACACACAAACAAAACGGTAACTATGTGAGGTGGATACATCAGTTAGCTTGATGGTGGCAATTATTTCACGATGTATATGTTTATCAAAATTTCAAGTCTTACACTTTAAATATGTGTAATTTTTATTTGTCAATTATGCCTCAATAAAGGTGGGAAAAAGATCGTAAAAGTTCAAAATAGATAATTTATGGAAGTTTTTGTTTTTAAATGATGTTTTTCTTCTTTCTAGTCAGAATCAGCTGTTCCAGATTTAATTCCTCTTTATCTAGAAGTGCATATTGTGGTGGACAAAGTTTTGGTATGTGTTTTGCTTATTCTTTGCTTTTAAATATTTGGTGTGAATGTGTGATTATCTCTGGCTAGAAAAGAGCTTAAGGATTCCGATCTTCTTACTAATATGTCATGGAGAGAAAAGTGGAAATATGGAAATATTTGCAAACTGAAAAACCATATATTCAAAATTACACTAGTTCTCTCAGAAATGTTTTGTTTGAAATCTTTACATAACAGTCCTGCATAACAAAATGATTTTTTTGCTGTTACTTTACATCATTAGGACCTCTCTAAATTCATGGTGTTTTTTAATAGTGATATTGTTTTAAGTGAATTCTTTAAGCTTTTAATTCTTGTTTTAGGGCACTTGAAGAGCAGTATGCAGTCTGGGGAATGTTTTGCCACATACAATATTTATTGGCACAAAAGTGATGATAGGGTAACTGTTTATGAGAACTGTTTACATTAATGTGTCGAGATTTATTTTAGTAGTTTTTAATGGTGCACCTATTCTATCCTGTTGTTTACCTGATCTAAACGTACCTCTAGATCTCCAATTCCCATAAACAATTTTTAGATCTCTGAACTTTAAAACCTTGCGATGATAACTTAGTTTGTACTCAACCAGGTGTGGCTTTATTTCACCTATATTTCAAAGATCTCAGAAAACAGGCAAATATATACTTTCCAGATTTTGCTCTGATGATAAACATTTGATTGTCACACCTATGGAATACCACAGAGAATACGAATGATACTCATCACCAATTCTATTTGTAGGATCGTATAGCTCATCGGAAAGCTAGAGTTGAGGATCAGAGACAGGTGAGATTTGGAGAAGGATATGAAAATACTTTATTAGCTTGTAGGGAAAAGAGTGAAGGGAACATTTAAGAGAAAGCTCAGGTATTTCTAGTAAAGATGACTAAATTTCCAGGGAATATTTTGGATTATGAAAATCATTTTTTTCAGGATTATGTTACAAATTTTTAGTTGTTTTAAAAGCTCTTGTCCAAATTTCCAGGTCTTCCAGCCATATAATACTGATTAAATATCCCCTTTCCATGTTCTTATGCATATTTTCATATTCTTTAATATCAAGCCAGCTATGACATCTGTGTTACTAGATGTCAGGCATATAAAGCAGAACAATAGTGATATTGTATTCAGTGACTTCACAAATTTTAAATCCACAATAGTAGCCTAGTGATTTCAGTGCCATGATAGAGGGAAGAATATGGTACAATAAAAACACAGTCCAATAATGTAGAAAGACATGGAAACACACAGTTGTAACTTGGGGTACTATAAGATAATGCAAGTAGGTGTTTTAAAATGTAGGTTTTATTATTATTCAGGTATGGTAAGGCCAACAGATAAGGAGATGATTGCTATTGGAAGGATAGTTTATCATTCAGAGTTCCAAAAAGGAGAGGGCACACCACATCATGCAGAAACCGCATAGGGGAGAAACAGGGTAGGTCAGGAGACAGAGAGAGCAAGGGGAAAACATGAGCAAGGAGCCTTGATTGTGGTTTCTGTGGGAAGGAACGGGCAAGGCAAGGTAAATGGGTTCAGACTAGGCTAGTTTCAGTGGATTCTGGGGTGTAGGGGTTGTCTCTGGTTGTCTGGTACCTGGCCCTTGGGTGATTAGGGCAGGGGAACAATGGCTTGGAGTATAAGAGCCTGATAATGGAGGTGGTTGTGGGTTGGATTCTGGATTGATTAGTTGGGTAACAGGGGGAGGGTAGGACCAGGGAAGACTTTGTGAAAAACCTTCCTTTGCAAGGGCAGATAAGTATGAGAGAAGGTTCTTTTCAGAAAACTGCAAGAATTTTAGTATGATTAATACACAGGATTGAAGAAGGGAAATGGAAAGAAATGAAGAATTGACATGATATTTGAATTTTATCCTAAACGTGATGGAGAGTCATTGATAGATTTTGAGCAGGGGAGTGACATGTTCATGTTTTCATTTTAGAATCATCATTTTTGTAATAGTGTAGGGACTGGATTGCTGGTGGGAAAATTGGAGAAGGAAGAACAATTTAAGAGACTATTGAAGTAATTAAAGTAAAAATTTATAAATTAGTAGTATTAGGAATAGAAAGAAAATGACACTTTTAAAAGTTACTGATGAGGTTGAATTACAAAGACTTGTAAATTGATTTGATTTATTCATTCATTTAATAAATTTATTGAGCATCATCTAGATGCCAGTTAGTGTTCTATTTACTGAGGACACAGCAGTTAATAAAACAGAAAAAGTTCTGCTGTTATGGAACGTGTAGTATAATAAGTGTGGGAGGTCATAGATAATAATACTGTGCACTAAAGTACTGGAAATGTAAGTAGGAGCAGATTTTTGGGGGAGCCTGATGAGTTTAGTTTTGGATGTGTTTAATTTGAGGGTCCTCTGGAGCATCCAAGGGATGGTGTTCTCTAGAGAGATGATTTATAGATATGGAATTTGACATTGGCACATTCCACAGAGCTTATTCAGATTCCAGCAGTCATATGTACACTCTTTTGTGTGTTTTTCTGTAGTTTTATGTGATAGTATCACATATGTAGCCTTGTGTAACCACTAACACAATCAAGACACTCAACAGTACATCACCACAAGACTCTCTTACATTATCCCTTTATAGTCATACCCATCTCTCCCCCCTTTGCTATACTTTTTTACCTCTGGCAATCACTAAGCTGTTCTCCATCTCTGTGATTTCGGGTATGTTGTATAAATGCTATCATGTATTATGTATCCTTTTGAGGTGTTTTTTATATTCAGTATTATTTTCTTGAGGTTTATCCAAGCTGTTCCATATATCACCAGTTCAGTTCCTTTTTTATTACTGAGTAGCATATTATGGTATGGTATGAATGTACCACAATTTATTTAACCAGTTAACCTTTGAAGGACACATAAACTGTTTCCAAGTTAGGGCTATTATGAATAAAGATATTGTGAACATTCACTTATAGGATTTTGTCAGCATCAGTTCTTATTTCTCTGGAATAAATGCCCAGGAGTACAATTGCTGGGTCATATGATACGTTCATTATTTGTTTTGAAAGAAGCTGCCAGGGCCAGCACGGTGGCACAGTGGTTAAGTTTGCACGTTCCGCTTCTCGGTGGCCTGGGGTTCACCCGTTCAGATCTCGGGTGTGGACATGGCACCGCTTGGCACGCCATGCTGTGGCAGGTGTCCCACATATAAAGTAGAGGAAGATGGGCACGGATGTTAGCTCAGGGCCAGGCTTCCTCAGCAAAAAGAGGACGACTGGCAGTAGTTAGCTCAGGGCTAATCTTTGTCAAAAAAAAAAAAAAGAAAGAAGCTGCCAAACTACTTTCCAGAATGGCTATACAATTTTACATTTCCACCAGTATGTATCATTGAGCCAACTTATATTCACTTTTCGTTACTGTCTTATTTTGAACTGTTTTAACCCCAAAGCAGCCTCAAACCTCTGAGAGTAGATGGAGAGTAAATCTTAAATATATTACATAACAAATTGTGTTTAAAATTAATTTTGTTTTTCAGTATGATTACTTGGGCTCTGATAGCATGATTATAACAAATAAAATCATCGAAATTATTGGCCTTGTAAATTCGGTAAGTATTGTCCTTTTCATACTAGTTAGAAAGACTCATCCTGGTTTTGAGTGATAATTTGCATGAGTTTGCTGTGGCATTGCGTTATAATTAAGTCATCCGTATAAACTGAGTGAGGATTTGTTGAGACATTGAATTTATTTCGTGGTTATGGTAAAATAACATAAAGATTAATTTTTCATCTATTTATCTCTTCTGTTTTTAGATGTTTGCCCAATTTAATGTTACTGTTGTGCTGTCATCATTGGAGCTGTGGTCAGATAAAAATAAGATTTCTACAGTTGGTGAGGCGGATGAATTACTGAGTAGATTTTCAGATTGGAAAAAGTCCTATCTTACCCTAAGGCCTCATGATATTGCATATTTATTCATGTAAGAATAATGTTTGAGTATTCTTAGAAAGAAAACAAAAATCTGTGACAATGGAAGTTGCTTAATTTTAGGGAATTGTTATTCGTTTCTCACTATTTACACTTTGACCATTACGTGCTTTATTCAGGCCTTGTGCTCTCTTTCTGGTTGTCAGAGAATAAAAAAAGGTTCCTAAAATTTATTTCTATGCTTATCAACCTTTTACGAATGGAAGATTGGGATTTGAAGAGGTTAAACTATCTCAGGACTCTCGGATCTAGTGGTGTATCTAGGGTTTGAACTTACAGTTTGTTAACTCCAGAGCCCATAATCTTAACCATTACATAAAGAGATGGGTTTTATCTTGTGAAGTTTATATTTTTGTTGTTTTCGATCAAAGGCTTGATAAAATAGGTTAAAAATATTTTACCCTAATAAATTTTCCTCATTATTTTTAAATGTTAGTTTTCTAATGATCAATTATAAGTCTATATTCATAATTTTATTCATATTAAATTTATTAGCAATTATAATCAGCAAATGTCTTTCAATAAATCTGTATATATGTATTTTTTGAGTTGGCAAACATTCATTTCCTTTTGCATATGTGAGATTAATCTTTTCCCACATCTCTGCCAATAATAAGTGTTATTGCACTTTTCATTCTTTGTTAGTCTAATGGAAATAAATTGATGTAGTGTTTTTTAATTTGCTTTTCCAACGACTAGTAGATTTGAGCAACTTTTCATATATATGCTTCTTGATCATTTGGATTTGTCCTTCTGTAATTGCCTTTTCATGTTACTTGACTATTTCCTTGTAATTCATAAGGGTTTATTGAATGTTTAGATATTAATCCTTTGTTTATCTGTATCAAAAACACTTTTTCCATATCTATAGTTTTTCTATAGATATTAAAAACTTTTTTCCTACATAAAATCTTTTATGTTTTATAGGGGTAATTTGTTAATCTTTTGTTTTTTACTTCTGGATTTTCTGTTTGGTGAAGATCTCGCCCGGCTCTAAATTTAGTCAGCTAGATTATTTTTGGAGGGATTATTATTATTACTTTTATAATTTTTGGAGGGATTAATATTATTACTTTTTATAAGTAAGTCATTGATACGTTTTCAGCTAATTTTTATATAATACAAAAGTGAATTAAAATTTAATTTTCTGCCAGATTGATAGCCAGTTTTGCAATAAATTTAACTACCACTTTGTCGTGTGTTTGTTAAATTCCACAAACAATCTGTTGGAATTTTTAAAGAGATTAAAGTAAATCTGTATATCAGTTTGGGGAGAACTGACATGTTTACAATGTTGAGTCTTCCAATCCATGCAAATTTATAACACTGAATATTCTAGTCATTGATTATCGTATATCCCTCCATATTTTTAAGGCCTTCATTAAGTCTTGCAGAAAAGCTTTATAGTTTGTAGTATACTTTCTTTATGTTATCTGGAAGAGGTCTTCCAGATAACTGTGAGATTTATTTCTTGGTATTTAATATTTTTTGTGCTAATATAAATATATTTTTTAACTTTTGACCACATTTTTCAAGATATATAGAAATGTAATAGATTTTTGTAAGTGCTAAATTCATGTTTTTAAATTAATAGACATTATTTTTAGAAGAGTTTTAGTTTTACAGAATAATTGAGCAGAAAGTCTAGAAAGTTGCTATATATTCCCTCTCCCTCCCCACCCCCACCACAGTGCTCCCTATTATTAACGTCTTGCATTGGTGTTGTTCATTTGTTGAAACTGATGAACCAATATTGATACGTTATTAAACTAAAGCCCATAGTTTACAGTAGAGTTCACTCTTTGTGTTATAAATTCATTTTTTTAATCTAAGCATTTTTCTAATGAATTGTGTGTCAGAATCTCCTACCTGTTTTGATATGGGTTTTTCTTGTGCACCTGATGTGTAGGAGTAGCTCCTTTAGTTTTTTTTTAATCTAATAATTGATCTCATATTTTTCATAGGATAGAAATAAAAACATTGTTTTGACCTTGAACTGCAAGAGTATGAAATTGGTCAGAAGTCCCAACTTTGGAATTTATTCTTTTCAAACTTATTCTCTTCTTTGCTCTCTGCCAAGTTTCTGTAGTGCATTCTCTTCAGCTTTTTTTTTTTTTTTTTCTTATTTAAGTATTACCATCCTGCCAGTGTAAGGTAAGGAGAAACTTTTGGAATTCCATTTGTTAATAGTTTTACAGGAAATTCTTTTTAGATTCAGTATATCTCCTTTATTTATTTATTTATGTGTTTATTTATTTATTATTAGCTGTCCATAGATGTGTGGGTTTATTTCTGGGCTCTTGATTCTGTTCCACTGATCTCTGTGTCTGTTTTTCTGCCAATACCATGCTGTTTTGGTTCCTATAGCTTTGTAGTATATTTTTAAATCAGGGAATGTGATACTTCCAGCTTTGTTCTTTTTTCTCAGGATTCCTTGAGCTATTCGGTATCTTCTGTTGTTCCATATAAATTTTAGGATCCTTTGTAGTATTTCTGTGAAAAATGTCATTATAACTTTGATAGGGATTGCATTGAATCTATAGATTGCTTTAGGAAGTATGGACATTTTAACTACATTAATACTTCCAATCCAAGAGCATGGAATATCTTTCCATTTATTTGTGTCTTCAATTTCTTTGAACATGTTTTATAATTTTTAGTGTACAGGTCTTTCACCTCTTTGGTTAAGTTTATTCCTAGATATTTTATTCTTTTTGTTGCAATTGTAAATGGGATTGTATCCTTAATGTCTCTTTATGTGACTTTGTTGCTCATATGTAGAAACACAACTGATTTTTGTACGTTGATTTTGAATCCTGCAACTTTGATATGTCTCTTTTAAAAGGGACATTTTCTTTCATAGCCTAACTAGCATTGTTACATTTAATAAAATAGTAATTCATCTAATAGTCTATTTTCACATATCTCTGTTGACTTCCAAAATGTACTTAAACAGCTGTGTTTTCCTAGTTAGCCTCCAATCTAGGACCATGAACTGCATTTGGTTATTATGTCCCTGAGGTCTCGTTTGTCTATTCAAGGCATCAACTTTTTGGAATGTGGGCCACTTGACTTACAGAATGTTCCACAGTTTAGACTTGTCTGATTGTTTCTTAGTGGTATCACTTAGATTAGTTTGTTCTTCTATGTCTCTTGTTCGTGTAAACTGGAAGCTAAATCTAAAAGTTTGATAGATACAAGTGTGCATGTGTGACTAGAATACATGATAACTGATGATTTATACCTCTTATTACATCACATAAGTAAATCATGATATATGGCTGTGGTAACGTCAATGATGTTAAGATGGATAACTAAATTAGGGAAAATATAGCCTGGTTTCTCTATTGGACAGCAGCATTTTTGAAAATAAGAGATAAGATTTGTGGGTTTTTTTTTTTGTATGAGTTCAGGAGCAACATTTCACTAACTGGTCTTAACATTAGTTAACAATTCTTGCCTTGGAGAGTGGCGTCAGCATCATGGTGGAGTGAGCTATTCCTTTTGTTTATCCCCTCTATGTTACAACTAAATGACATTCATTAACCAACAGAGGATTCCCTACACAACACAACAGGACACCAGAGAGATCCACACAGCTACACATCTAAAGGTGGGAAGACTGGATCCCGGAGAAGTAGTGGAACTAGGTGAGTGGACCCATTCCCCTCCCCAGTGGCAGAGTGATCGAGGTTGCGGATCCTCACACAGTGGCTGGTGCAATTGTGAGTGGAGATGGGGACAGCCCAGCCCACACATGAGTGCTTTTGGAGTGGTAGCCCAGCCTGCGGGAGCACCCACCTACTGAGGTGGCCCCACCCACATGAATGCTTCCCACAGAGTGGTGGTGCCTGAGCCCATGAGAAGTTGTCCCACCCATCAAGTGCACCAGCTCAATTGGCTCCACCTGCTGAGTGGCTGTGGCCAGCCAACATAGATGCAGAGTGACCCCACTGGCACAAGTACCACCAGACAGGGCAGGATCAGAAAATACACTTCCTGCCCACAGCCAGCAGTGGCAGGTGGAATCTGTGACTTGATAGTACCACAAATATGCCGGCAAAGGATCAATTCATCAAACACCATGAAGAACTACAGTAACACTGCAGATCAGAAGGAAAATGACAAGTCTTCAGAAACCAAACCTGAAGTCACAGAAATTATAATCTAAGTGACAGAGAATTCAAAATAGTTGTCATAAAGAGACTAGAGTTACAAGAAAACACAAAAAATAGTTCAGTGAACTCAGGAATAAAATTAATAAACAGAAGGAATACTTCATCAAAGAAGTTGAAGCTCTTAAAAAAACTGTACAGAAATTCTAGATATGAAGAACACACTAATGAGATTAAAAATAATGTAGAAACCATAAAACATAGAGCAGACCTTATGGAGGACAGAATTAGTGTCTTAGAAGATAGAAATCTGTCAATGCTTCAGGTGGAGGAGGAGAGAGAACTGAGGTTTTTTAAAAAAAGAAGAGATTCTTCAAGAAGTATCTGACTCAATTAGGAAAAGTGATATAAGGATTATAGGTATCTCAGAGAGAGAAAGGAGGAAAGAGCTTGTTCAAAGAAATAATAGCTGAGGACTTCCCCAACCTGGATAAAGCACTTCAATTAGAAGTACATGAACCCAGTAGAACTCCTAATTACATCAATGCAAAAATAACTCCTAGAAGAATTTACAGCTATACACAGCTATGTACTGGGGCTTTGGTGGGGGGAAAGAAAGGAAAAGGAGGAAGATTGGCAATCAATGTTTTCTTAGAGTGAAACTTCCCCTCCAAAAAAGAAAAAAAAGATCTTCTCCAAGGCATAAGTATTAAAAATCTCAAAAGTCAATGGCAAGAAATGTCAAGGACAGTAAGGCAGAAGAAAATAACCTACAAAAGAACACCCATCAGGCTTTTAGGATATTTATTAGCAGAAACCTTACAGGCTAGGTGAGAATGGAATGATATAGTGAAAATACTGACAAAACCTTTCAGCC